TCACTTCTGAGCCACATTATGAGCTGCTGTGATGAAATTCATGCAACTTGGATGAGCCTGTGATTTCAGTTTTCATTTTGATTTTCAGTGTAATTTTGAAAACAGCCTCCACGGGTTGATGATGCTGGTTTCCACTGACCATTATGTCATTTTGCTCTGAACAAATTATACAATGTACATAAGTAAAGGTTTTCAACTTGAATAATTTGTTCATCCAATGTATGATTTAGTGTTTCCTTATTTTTTTGAATAGTGTATATATCCAGATCAAAATCAGTTCAAATGAACATATTTGGAATGTGACGGGTAGTGTTGATGAAGGCCTAGCTGAGTTCAACCGGCAACGCTGTGGGTGTACATGGGACAAAGGATCCTCAGCCAACTTTCAACCACACAGTCCTTCTGTTGCAGTCTTTGGCCTTGATGACACCTGTTTCAAAACCAGTGTTTAAGTCCGAGATCAGCTTGTATTTCAGTACCTACTGTATGTGACTATGGAAACTAGCTGAGCAACTAGCCAAGTGAGTCTAGTTGCTGTAGTCCCTTTGAATAGTCAAATAGATTTAGTCTCACCTTGTGCATGCAATGCACAGCTGATTAGTGATGCTGTCATGACTGAACTGTCCCATCACCTCTGCCTGTGTTATACATGAAGGTAGATTAGGGGTTTGCAGGTTTGTAATCGGTGTTCTTTCTTTGATATCCCGCCATTCCACACTCTCAAGTGTTTGATGGATTAGGTGGCTTGCTGATGCCCGCTGTAACGCCACAAAGCACTGGGGGCAGCACTGCTGGAAGCACAGCTGGAAGCATGGGAACTCCTGTCACAGCGGGAGGCATTGCAGCTGCTCCATCTGCCACCCCACCTCCCACCAAAACTATTGGAGGAGACCTGGACTCGTCACTGGCCAACCTGGTTGGAGGTAGGCAGCAGCTGTTCATGACTGCCTGCACTTAACCAGGTCTGTTTCTAATGAATAACTAAATAGAAAGTTAACTTGTTCTTTTTTCTTCCTTCTGTTTAGATCTTGGAGTAAAGAAAAAGTAAGTGTGTGGATTCTATGCACATGATGCTTGTGCAAGTTTAAACATGTATTAATGTTTCCCATAGAGCTGACATGTTTATGGATTTAAGAAAAAGGAAGAGACCAGAGAAAATAAACAAAAGTCAGTCTTTAAATTATGTTATGATATATCAAATGTTGCTCAGAACATTTATTTTTGAGAAACCAGTTTTACTAAATCATACCCACCAAAGAATCTCAAGTGTTTCTGTGTTTGATCTTGTATAGAGACCCACAGAGTGAGAAGAAGCTGACAGGAGGGGCCAACTGGATGCCACAGGTAGCCCCCACAAGCTGGGCCACACCAGGAGCCCCCATGGTAAGAACAGCGTGGACCCCCCCACCACAAGATCACAGTTCATCCAGAAGCAGTCCCATTCTGTGTCTCAGACTCAAAAATGTAGCTGTACTGTATATACATTTCTTTCTAGAAATCAAAAATAAAGAAAAATAGACTGCAGACACATTTTGTTGTTTTTCATGAATGCAGCCATTTTCAGAACTCCCACCAGCTGTGTGGTGAGCGAGTAATGGTTTTAAAACATAGAAGTCATGCTGCTGTGACCACTGTTTATCTTTTTAGGCTGCTGCTGGAACACCAGGAGCTCCAGGGGCAGCTCCACCTGGTGGAGCCATTGTGCCACCAATGAGCACACAGCCTGGCTTTGGCATGGTGAGCTTTATTTCATTCACAAGAAATCGCTACTGTGCAAGTCTAGATAAACAACATCTACATCATTGTGAATGCTGTCGTGCATTATCCTGCTCAGCCTTTAGAAATCCCAGTGTATGGTACTGTATTTTTCCTGTCTGACCAGCCTCCAGCAGGAGGGCCTGGAGCTCCCATGATGCAGCCTATGATGGGGCAGCCGATGATGGGACAGCCCATGATGAGACCTCCCTTCACAGGGGTGGCTGGTGGAGCACCGGTAGCAGGCCACACACACTACAGGCTCCAGTTGCAAATAAGGCCATCAGATTGCACTAAAATAAACTGGTTATACTTTTATACATCATTGCATAATTCTTTACTTGCTAATTAGGCATGAAGTTCTCTTTCCCCCTTTTTCAGATTTCTCCAGGACCTACAAGCCAGAGTCCCAAGAAGCCCAAGGACCCTCTGGCAGAACTCGACCTGAAGGACTTCTTATAATGCCCCAGGTGGGAGCTCAGAGTGCCAGCATATACAGTAGCATATGCAGAACAGTATAGCACAGTATGTACAGTAACAACTTCTGGAAGACTTTAATATATTTGGCTTGTGCTGGTTAGTGCTTCACTAGCTGATGTAGAGTAGCATATATTCGATACACAGAAGAATCAAATGGCCTAGTTTTGGTGATTTGAGATGTTTAAAATCAGACTATTTACAATGTTTCATTTTCCCAGTCAGAGACTTGGTTCCAGGTCCTATGAATTTGTATGCACACTTGAGAAATTACTTTTATATATGTTTTAATAAAGCCCTTCAGGGGAGGAATTGGTTTGTTTTGTGTCTTGAAAGAGGTCTCTGCTAATCCTAATGTCACTGCTTCAAAGCTGCTCTGCTACCAAGTACGGTGTAGTGCCTGCGGATGGAGCTGGTGACCTATGTTTCAGAAGGCGTGAAATTCACACCATACGTGGTTTTCAAATAACACTGAATAAGCATGAGCTTCCGGCTTCTGGATGTCTTTACTTAAACAAAATGATGCTAGACGCAGCTGTTACAACTGACTTCTTTTTCAGTTACACAAAAACTAAGCGAGTGATCAGTACCTTCTTGCACTCCTTGTTGCTGTTGAAGTGTGCATGAAGTGGGTGAGCCAGTTCTTTACCAAAATCACCACTTTGCAACCAAGCTTTAATTCAGTAGTACAAACACAGCGTTGGTACTTGTTGAAAGCAAAACATGAATGAAATCATAGTCTGGCAGATTTAACACAGATCTTGTGATTTTTTTTTTAATCAAGACCCACTTGACTCTTGTGTTGAAATGTTCTCTACCTCTTGTCTTCCAGCTGTGTTCTCATCTGGTGCAGGGCCCGCACCTTCTACAGTACCTGGTGTCTGTCAACATCTCAGGATGCCAGCAATGTTCAGCTACTCAACCATATAAGAGCCCCCCCACCCCCCTCCCGTCAACACCCCACCCTTCTCCTGTGTGATGTCGTAGCACAAACTGTGAAAGTGAACCATAGCAGACATTTCAGCATACATATATGAGGGGGAAAAAAACTCAAGCTTGTGCTAATGTAGATGTACTAATCTTTTGTCTGAACAAAATCACGCAAAATGCTGAAGAAAAAAGTCCACAAAACTAAGTGAAAGAAAGTGAAGGTGTATGTGTTTAGAGTTCCTTCTTGTGCTGATTTGAATGATGGATGTGTTTTGGTGTCCTAATCTCCGCTCACCACCCACATTTTTGTCCCCGCCTCCTTATGAAGGGGGATGAGCTCTTCTTTGTGCCACTCAGATTGGATGAGAGTGGTAAACGAAGCTCCCTTAGATTTTCAGCAAATGATGTTGTGTGTTGTTTACAGAAAGGTCCTCTGTGATGTACATAGGTTTCTCTCGTGAGGATTCCGTCTCTGTTCTGTGTGTCTGTTGAAGAGAAATATAAACATGAATCTGATCTGAATCTGTAAGAAGTCGTGTGAGTATCCTATTTCCTGTCATCATTTGGGAGTATTTGGAGACAAATATAAATACCACTATAAGATTAATATACTGTATATACTGAAACAACTTGTACGGGCTTCTGAATCTTAAAGACCAGCAGTAATCCCTTCTGTTTGTTTCATTTGTACTTGTGGCTTATTTATTTTTTTTGTTTTGTTTCTTGTCTTATTGTTTTGTTATTTATATGCCATCTCTTTTAGAATAATCCTACCGACTGCTGTTGATGTTTGCTGGCATTATTAAGAACATATCTCACAACTTACTTTCAGAGAATACGTTTGTTATTCATCATAGAGGTGAATTCACACTGTCACACAATACAACTGTCAGGTCAGTATGATAATTGCCATACAAGCTCTATGTTCAGACAGTTTGTTGAGCTCAAATTTAAATCATGATATGGGCTTTAAAACTGAAAACAAAACACAGAAAAGTGTTGTGGCTCTACTCACTCTAGTGTTACCAGGAAAAACAAAAATTCACAATGAGGACTAGGTTTTCTTCAAAACAAGATCGTTTACAAACCCAGTGGGGGCCCACTCAGCAAACCAATGCTTGTGCAGTGAAGAACTCCACCAGGTACCCTTAACTTATATGTTACTAGCCTGTTGTACCCAGTGCTGTTGGACAAGACAGGCCATATGTCTGTGTCTGTGCTGCTTCTTTACTGTTTAAATTACAGAAAAATCATTGAAAGATGCTAATAATCTCTGGTAACCTGAAAATGTATAGATGAACAGCAGGATTTGGCAAATAAATTTAATTTTGACTGCTGTCTGGAGATATATGGTGTTTATTACTTCTGTAATACTGTGTAGGGCCACATGAGAACAGTGTGTACAGGAAGCCACTGGGGGTCGCTGTTGAACCTTCTCACCACGATCTTGTTCCCAACAAGCATCTAAAGGCAAAGCTCCTCTGTTCCCACTTCTTACAATGGAGTCAGTTTGTCCTGAGTGTTGACATGCATTTGGACAACATGTGGCACCAGAGTCTAGTTTTGTGCTGTGAAGTGCACGCACTTGTAAAGCTCATACTCTGCGTGTTGTCATTTCAGTGGATTGTACAAGTGATTGGTTGTGAGAATCAGATGCGACTCAGAGAAAATGATGAAACTAACATTTTTCAAATTGTATTTTTGTTTAGTTGTAAATTTATTTTATTTACAATGGCCCTTCCCAGTGCATGTAAGCCCTTTGAGATGCAATAAATTCAATGACAGATTGAACAGCCTGTGATTTTCTTTTCTCTGTATAACTGATATGTCTGAGTCAAACTGTATGTTTTTGCCCAGCGGTTTCATCTTTTAAAAAAAGCTATATTTAAAGTCTACCTTAGTTTTAACACCTTGTCATATATTTCAAAGTTGTGTTAAATTAGGACTAATTGGGGCCAGAGAGTATAGCTGGAAGCACTGGGTTTGTAAATGTATAATGAAGCTGCCATATATAGTTGGTTGTGTGCACCATACTTAAATTTGCAGTAACAACATTATTTGGTCTCCTGGGGCAGGCCAAAAAGTGTTGTTTAAAGACAACACTGACATACTGTCACCTTTCAAAGTGGGTATATAAACGTGTTAGCAAATAGCTGTTTAGCTACACATGGAGCAGTACAAAGCGTTAGCATTCATGTGGAATCATGTTCTGTGCACCTGGCGAATGGAAGACCAATATTTAATCTGCTTTCAGTTCTGTTTTGGTCTTTAGCATGTCCTGCTAAATTGTTCACTGTGTTTACCAGCTAGTTGCCATCTGGTGCTACACAGGTATCCCACAGTGGATTTATTAGAGCTTTTTCACATAACAGCTGTCTCCTGGGAGTAAACAGAAACAAAGTTAGGTAATTGTTCTCTGTGGCTTTGTTTCTATCAGCTGTCCTTTCATTTTACCCAGTCACTTGATCAGTTGTTTATATAGGAATATTGATCAATGCAGCCTTAATTGAAACATGGGAACAGCAGGATTCATACTGGATACATGCACAATGGCCCAGACACTGTGTGCTGAAAGAGGCCCTGGGGTCCCCTCTCAGAATAATCAAGAAATGGAGATCAGTGTTTTGATTTGTGGTGACACAGTTGTTTGGTCCAGCCATCATATACTGCATATCCTAATGATGGTTGGGGGGTGCTGGAGCGTTCCCAGGTGTCACTGGGCGAGAGGCAGGGTCCACCCTGGACAGGTCCCCACTTAGAGACACGCAACCACACACACTCACACTCACTCCTGCAATTCAGAGTGGGAAGAAGAGAGCGACCCCACGGAGGCAGAGGGAGAACATGCCAGGGGTTGGGCCGGGATTCAAACCTTGAACCTTTTTGCTGTGAGGTGACAGCGCTAATCACTGAATCACCACGCTGCTTATTTGTTTAGTTAGTGAGGTAAGCAGTTACAGTAGTAGTACAGTGACTATATTTGGCAGTGGTTTCATAGCAAACCAGTTTATAATAATTGAAATTAATTTTTGTTACAATCACAACAATCACACACACAAATAGTAATCTTGGTTTAATGGTTGGTAGCTTTCAGTCTGCATTATTCATCTCAGGTACTCGGCATTAAATGTATATGTGTTTTTGGAACATGAGCAACATGAAAAGTCAAAAATATCACATCCCAGATTTAAAATTGTTGTTATATAACAATATTGTGTTTGGAATCCTATTTAACCCTCAAAATTTTGGATTCTCAAGTAAATTGTTGAATGGTTCAGTCCCATCCTAACACAACCCAAATATGTAGCCTCACATTAAATACACAGTTACAGTACTAGGCTATCAAAAATATTCTGAGAAGTCTCCCCTTACTGTCCCTCCCCCCAAGTGTTTACAATTCCATAAATTAGCACCACATATTCTAAGCACCAATGAAACCACATTTAACTGTTTTGCAAGAACAAAGAAAGGAGGGTGAGACACAATCAGAAAGATGCAGGATCCATAAGGACCCGTTCACTATTTAGAAAAAAAACAAAGTCATACTTCTAGATATACACAATGCAAAATGCCAGCTCATTCAATTAAAATGTTTATAAAAACAGTAATCTCAATATCTCTATATAGTTCATTTATAAAACACAAGTTACATTTATTTTTCCTCGTTCTTTGGCCGAGGCCAGTCCACACACTCCTCTGTACAGTGGTGGAGAACACTTGAAAACTGACAATGCAAACCCCTCCATACAAATCCTATCTGAATTATAGGACAAATGTAGTAGGGCTTTGCTCACAAACATTTGAATACACAAACTGATCAAAAAAGAGTCAAAACCAAAAGCAAAACTGCAGATCTGAATTTTCTGCAAATATACTTTTTGTTGTTGTTGTTTTAAACAAATAAATTAGAAAAGCTGAAAAGCCACAGTTCTCTTGATGTGTTGACGAGTTTCTGTTGTTATCAACACCGAGTCTGCATGGTTGTGTGTGTGTGTGTCCTTGTTTTTCTGTACTTCTGTGGCCCAAAATCCATGAGTTGCTATCTTCGTGGGGACCGGAAGTAATTTGTGGGGACTGGAGGCTGGTCCCCACAATGTAGTTTGTCGAATTTTACAAAAACAATGGGGTATAAGGTTAGAGCATGTCAAGTCAAGTCAAGTCAAAGTGTTGGCTTTGGTTAAATATTAGGGTAAGGGTTAGGCAAGTGGCAGTTCTGGTTAGGGTCAGGGTAAGTCTCCTGGAAATTAATGTAAGTCTATGTAGGGACCTGGTAAGTGACAAAAACAAGGATGTGAGTGTGTTTGTGTATGTGTGTTTATATCAGTGTAGCAGGAGCTACTGTCAGGCACAGGAGGTAATAGGGAGGCAGGAAGACAAGAGGCAGGCATCGGGGCTCCTGCATGGTGATAGGAGTTTGGAGGGGTGAGAATAGTTAAGGATGTGAGCGGGATGGTGGTTAAGAGAATCCTGTGTTGTGCTAAGCTACTTGGCACTCACTTGAGTCCCCATGGACCCAGTAGCAGATCTGAGCATATTTAAGGGGTGTTATCCTGACTGCCACGTTGTAGTCCTGCTGCATCCCATCCCCGTTTACATCCACCCACTGGTGACCTGAGAAAACTCCAATGATCTTCCTCTTCCACTTCTTCTTGCCAGGTTCTTTGAGGCGGATGTAGACCCCAGAGCCGCTGGAGCCAGGTTTAGCATCACAGTACTGATAGAGCAAATCACTGGACTCGTTGGACACGGAGCAGAACCGGTAGACCAGGTGGCCAGGCCGGTCATCATCGAAACCAGAGAAATGGATCCTCCTAGCAGGAAGCTTCTTGACAGAGGGTATAACACCTAGATCCATGTGCTTCACTTTGGGGGCTTTCTTCAACTCTAGAATAGCGTAATCATAATCCGCAGCCAGTCCACCAGAGACACCTTTAAACCAACCTTTAGGAACCTGAGTCTGCTTGACCTTGGTCCACTTAAACGAAGGTTTCTCTGATTCTGCACTGCGGCGACTCCGGTTCTTCTGACCTTTCCCTTTTCTTTTATGGTCCCCTTTCCCACCATTCTCTTCTTTTTCCTGCACTTCTTCTTTACCTTTGTCTCCCTTTCTCCTTTTGCCTTTGCGTCGTCCTCCTCTCCCTTTGTTTCCTTTCCCTTTTTTAGACTTGTCTTTCAGAATACCAACACGTAGCTTCTGTACCCCATCTAGATAATCTTTTCCATCATGAATGCAATGGGCAGCGGTCAAAATGTGTTTAGGTGAGACCAGAACCCCAGAACATCCTGTGGAGATTTTCACAGTCGTGGAGAAGGGATATTTGGTGCTGAACTGCTTATCAGAGATGGTGAAGCGGGTGTCTGTGCCATAAACCTCCCGTTTGTGACGGGAGCTAGATGAGGTGTTTCTGGACCAAGCAGTTACCTCGCTGAGGCCTTGAACAGACACTGAGGTATACGTGCGTGTGCCATTCTCGTAAAATGTCTCGTAGGACAGGAACTGCTCCAGTTTATCCAGAGAGGGTGAAGGGAGGTGACGCTGACACTCAATCCCACAGATCCCAGCCAGCTCTGATTGAGGATGGGCTGAGAAGGTGGGGCTGTTGAGATGCACCATGCGTCTTTTCCTTACTGTAGGCACCTTCCACTGTGGCCAGGTATACTCATCACTGACTGCATTCTCCTCAGTGGTTACAGCTGCCACCACCACAGCCAGCACCGTCACAGGGAGCAGGACACACAGGGGTATGGGACCCATTGTTAAGTTGGGTCTGGCTCTGAAATGTAGAGAACAGAGAGAAACACTTAGAACTTAAATGAATCCTAATGTCTTTTTCTTTAGCACCAACACCAACAACCAAGGTTGGCACTTTGTTTTTAGTTAGATGGTTGACAACTACTGGATGAATTGCCCATGAAACAGATATCAATCAACCCCAGTGGATGAATTGTAATGACTTTGGCAGTCCCCTGATTTTTCATGTGTATTGCCACAAGGTCTAGTTATGTGCCTACTGTTCTACTGCACTTATCTCTAGTGAAATATCTATACAACTGCTACAACAGATAGATTGGCACAATATTTTGTAGACATTCATGGTTCCAAGATGATGAATCCTAATGACTTTAGTGATTTTTTCACTTCATCCGCAGGTTGACCATTTGTGGTTTTTAGTGAAATCCCTCTCAAGATAAGGTGTAACAACTTAAGTGACACCATTACTTTATGTAGTGTTATTATCAGGTCAAAATTCTACAACACTTTGGTTTATGGTCAAATATCTACAAAACTAATGAAATTCACATTAGTCTAAGTTGTACTTTGAGTTTAGCACTTATTCACAAGATGTAGCATGCTATGCTAAACTAAC